GTTATTTCATGACTTGACTCTCTAAAATTGATTTTTGGACCCCCCGAGCCATGCATGGAACATCATTCTTAGCCAAATTTGGTTAAAAAACATACTCTTTTGTTATGTTAATTTCATAATTTGGCTATTTAAAAACGGGCTCTTGAACCTCTCAAGCCATTGATGAAATTAACTCTTTGCTTTTGCTATTTTTAACCATGAAAAAATTCTGAAAAAATTCACCAATCCGGCTATTAAAGCCTCAGTTAAAGACTTGGTGGTGAGAGTTGATAACTCATCATTCCATTGGCGAGTTTCCATATCAAGTTGATGAATTTCTCTAATTAAATGATGTCTTTTTTCTTCCATCAAATAATATTGTAAGGGATGAAAGTTTATTTCATCAAGAAAATGGATTTCTTCTTGAAGATCCAAAATTTTTGTTTACGCCAGTATATTTCATCTAGGCTATTTGAAATGGACAAATCCAATTCATTTTTCATTTCTTACACTTGACGTCCCACTGGGCATGCCAAAAATTGTTGGCTTATTTTTCCTACGAAGGAAAATATCATAAATGCCAGCGTGCCAGCAAGGATTGAAAAATCCTTATGGATTAAATTCAAGCCAATTATCAAGCGATTGCATTGACAGTTCTTTTGCCTGAACGAAGAAGACTTCAAAATTGCCAAGTGTAAAGAAAAGAAAAATTAAAAGAAGAAAGAGGGAGACGAAGACAGATGATTGAGTGAACAATCAAACTAACCATTAATTTGTCTCTACTCCTATACTTCGAAAAGGAAGTGCATAAAATAAAGTGCCAAGAACTTACCTCTACTCTATGCTTCGAAAATGAAGTGCATAAAATAAAGTGCAAAAAATTAAGTGCAAGAAATATAAATGACAAGAAAAATATAAATCAATTGTCTTTGATTTGAATTCTTCCATCTTTACGATGTAGCCTTGAATGGTTATTTATATTCAAACATTTGTAGGAAAAAACTACCTAAAACTACCTACTCTTCCACCTCCTCCATTTCATACTACATGGAGAATAAAGTGAAGAACATGAAGTATGAAGTGGAGGTTAAAGGAAGTTATGCAATGAAGAGGATTTCAAAATTGCCAAGTGTAAAGAAAAGAAAATTTAAAAGAAGAAAGAAGGGGACAGAGAAAGATGATTGAGTGAACAATCAAATTAACCATTAATTTATCTCTACTCTTATACTTCGAAAAAGAAGTGCATAAAATAAAGTGCAGAAAACTTACCTCTACTCTATGTTTCGAAAATGAAATATAGAAAATTAAGTGCAAGAAATATACATAACAAGAAAAATATAAATCAATTACTTTTTATTTGAATTCTTCCATCTTTACAATGTAGTCATGAATGACTATTTGTAGGCAAACATTTGTAGGAAAAAACTACCTAATCTTCTATCTCCTCCATTTTATACTACATGATCTTCCATAACATCCTTCAACCTCCATTTCATGTTCCATGTTCTTCACTTTATTCTCCATCATCTTTTCACATTTCATAACTTCTCATAACCTCCAAATGAGTAGAAGAATGTCACATGTCCTACAATTATATAAATAAAAAATAATAATAAAAATTGCATATTCATGGTGCCAACATTCGGCCCAAATTTGACTTGCCAGTTGTTCAGCCAGTCATTCGACAACAAAGTAATAGCTATGGTCGACGAGGGTGACAACCAGTAGACAAGTGTTGCACCGGTCACTTAGATAATTGACCAACATGCACAAATTTGAACAATTCAAAAAAAAAAAAAAATCAAATTCAATCTACTAAATATTTTTCAAATTTTAAAAGGGACACTTTCAGTTTAAAAGAAAGAATAGTGCTATATTTTAAAAAATAATAATAATAAAAATAAAAAATTCACACAATAATTTAAAAATAAAACTTGTCAATGTAACTTATTCTTTTGAAAAACAATTATCACATCATAAAATTCAATATAGATTTAATTTTTTGTTAGTGAAATTCAAAAAATTAAAATTAAAATAACAACGTTACATGTTCAAAAAAATGATTTAAAAAACTATATTAATAGACCATATTCATTATAGATCATATCACACAAACTTTAAATTTACAATATACATTTTACTTTTAAAATAATTTTCAAAATACAAAATTCTATATACATAATATTTTTTTAAATTAAAATCCAATTAGTGCAAAGAAATATGTGTGCACTCATGGCATCTCAAACGATGCATCAATTTTTTTATTAAATTTGAGTAAAAGCTTTCTTTGGTATCAAGTGGTTCAGCGGAGAGTTTTGTAGTTTTATTAAACCATTGGTCGACCGACCAGTGTAATTTTTTCATAAACTTTTGCCTTGAGGTGATCATCCAGGGGACATTCGGTGATGAAAATCCAACGACAATGAACAGTGATTTAATGAAAGACACATTGACCCTCAGTTTGTTGAAAGAAAAGTGAAATATGAATTTAATGATAAATTTGATGAATCATTAAAGAAACAAAAATTAACCTTTTTTTTTTTAAAAATCAAATTTAAATTTGATGATTGATTTGATGAACCATATAAACCCCATATAACACATCAGAAATGATACATCCCTCTAATTTAGGAGCTCTAAAAGAGTACTAATGATGTGGAAAAAAAACTAAAGCCAAAACATCACATCACATGGGACTCACACACCAATCAGAGCTATTAGAGCTCTTACAACATCTCCGATGGTTTGCCATTGGAGCTGCTAGTGTTATAATATAACAACTGTTTTAAAAAATGATGCTCCAATGGTTGAATATGGCAGCTACCAAATTTGACAAATGCTAAAACTTACGCCAAATTTGATACAAGTTTTGGCAGTTGCCATTTGTGCCAACTAAGCCAAAACCAGCTGTTTCCCTCCCTCTCTGTAAAACAGATAAATTTTTGCAAAATCAGCCGACCCAATTTTTTAAATTTACCCAAATTCATCAAAGTTTTTTTGTTTTGTTTATTTATTTATTTATTTACAGAATTAGTCAACAACAATTAATAAATCTAAACAAATTTGAAATAATTTCAACAATTCTCAAATTCAGCAAATTCAACAACAATCAATCAAGAAATTTCAAACAATTTTGAAACAATTTCTACAAATCTCAGGCATTTTGAAGTAAATCTCACAGAATATGAAATAGGAGAAACCTAGAAGAGGAGATCTGTGACATACTTTGATGGTGAGAGGGACAGGATCACTGAGGGAATTGACAGTTTTTTGACCTCTAGGGCTTGTTCCATCGAACTTCGTGATCGGTGGTGTTCCATCAAACCCAAATAATGGTGTTCCAAACACTGGTGTTCCATTGAATTTCATGATTAGCGATGGGTGAGAGAGAGGAAGACGATCGGTAAGAAAATTGAGAGAGAGAGGAAGACGATTGCTGAGAAAAGAACATGAGATATAGAGAAATAGAGAGAGAGAGAGAGGAAGACGATCGATGAGAAAATAGAGAGAGAGAGAGATGCTATGGGAAGACGATCGGTGAGAGTACCTCTACTCTAAAGAGTGTTGGAAAGTGAGAGACAAAAAAAAGAAGATGGTTCTAGACGGAAAATATCAGCCGTTGGATTATATAAAGATCCAATGGTGAGGAAGGTGGTTCCGTTGGATTATATATCAATTTGGGTATTTAATTTTGAGTATTTAATCTATTTCAATTTGTAATTTTTGATTATATATAGATTATATTTTGGATTATTTCAATCTGTAATCTAATCCAATATATAATTTTGGATTATACGTAGATTCTATTTCAATTTGTAATTTTTAGTATTAAGGCCTTGTTTGGCATCCCTTAAAAAATTCAAAAAGTTAAAAAGTCACTATCTTATTTAAGTCCCACCATCTTATTTAAGTCACATCACCTCTCTACCACATCACTTCAAACCCAACACATACCCAACTCATATTTCATAAAAAGTCAAAAAGTACACTTATTTAGATTATCTCAAACCACTCCTTAATTTTTTTTCAATTTTTTAATTTCTTTTTCATTTTTTATATTTGTCTAGTTAGATATAATATAAATATATAATTTTTTTTACAAACAGTTAAAAAAAGGTCACAAAGACAAAAAAATAAACAAAAAAAAAGTAAAAAACCTATATCCAAACAATATCTATAAACTTAGAGGAAAAATTGATTGAGATTTGTCAAAATAACACGTGTACCACTGGAGTACCATTGCTATAATTTAACAAATTATTACTATTCATTACCAAATTATAACAATAGCAATCAGTATGTTTGGTTTGAGTTTTCTAGATTAAGTTTTTTGAAAACTAAATTTTTTGGTTTTCGTGTTTTTTTTTAGTGAATATTTTTAAAATTTTAAACATTTTTTTTTACTTTTTTAGATGCACCTTAATTAGATGTATCTGAAAAGTAAAAAAATTGTAAAAAATATTTTAAAAAATTAATAAATACATAAAATATAAAAAATATATTGAATTCTTGTATTTTTTTTTATATTCTTGGTATTTAGTAAATTGTTTTAAAAAAAAAATTATAATTTTTTTACTTTTTAGGTGTATTTATATTAGGTATCTCTAAAAAATAAAAAAATTATTTAAAATATTAAAAAAATTTAATAAAAATAAAAAAATATAAAAAATAAGAAAATAGAATTTTTTAAAAATTGAAACCAAACTGAATAGTATTATAGTAGATACTATTAAATATGCTCTTAGCTCCCAATCTTTTGCCTATAACACACGTAGTATTTCGCACCATTATCTCCACGTGGCACAATCTAATTGGCTCCGCAGATATTCTCAACCCAAGATAAAAAAGAGCCAAGGGCCCAGAATCGCCCCGAGTAGGTCCCACAAATCTCACCAACATCAAATATCCACCGTCCGATCTCTCTCTCTCCAATCAAATACCCCCGTTGACCAATCAAAGTCCCCACAAAAACCACATCACAACGGACCACTCAGAGACAACACATAGTACATATAATCATCATCATCATTATCAACCATGCTCCTTGAAGAAGACGAGCAAAAATTCGAATGGTTCGGCAAAGCAATCGTGGGCTCGGTCTCAACCGGTGAATCAGACCATTAATTTCATGGAGTTTCCGTTGATTTCCCGGGCCCCGAACCCTCCAACGACGTCGTTTTGTTCGGCTAGAGTCGGTCTCTGTGACTTGACTCTGAAGAAGAAGACGAAGACGAAGAAGAGGGTAGTGAGTGTGAGGGGTTCGGCGGAGAGGAGTGGTGAAGGAGGAGGAGAGAGAGAGGGTAGAGGAGGAGGAGGAGGGTACACGAGCTCTGCCATGGAGGTGACCACATTCAATCGGGGGTTCGGCGAAGCTGAGTTCCCTGTTTGGGAGAAGATTGGAGTTGTTGTTAGACTCAGCTATGGAATTGGTAGGCCCCCAACAAACCCAACTTTTATTTTACTTTTGGGGTCTCTGTTTGGTTGCTGAGAAAATTGACAGACAAATTAGGACGTCGGGAAAGACATTTTGCATTTTCTTTCTTTTTTTCTCAGCAACCAAATGGAAGGTTATGATTAAGTTCCCAATCCTGCTATGTTATGAATTTATTTTTTAGGATCGTCTAATTTCATTTCAAGGCTAGTCCCCTTGGGTTTTAAATTGAAATTACTTATTTTCCTTTCCTTTCCTCCCTTTTTTGTGAGGAAAAAATGGGTTGTTTTAGGTTAGTTGACAATGGACCTTGATGACCTTTAAGCTTCAATTTTTAGGTAAGTAATAATTATTGCAAATCGAAAAATCCATGCTTTTCAACAATTGCTTTATAGTGCGTGAATTAAAACGAGCAAAAAAATAAATAAATAAAAATAAAAGAAGGGATTTTGACAAATTGCCTCCCAAAAGATGTTGAAAAGTATAATTATTCCCCCTAAAAAATTCAATTGAAACAAATTGGTCATTGGAAGATGTTGAAAAGTGCAATTAGCCCTTAAAAGTTCAATTGAAGCAAATTGTCCCTGAGAGATGTTCAAAAGTGCAATTAGCCCCCTAATAAATCAATTAGTGCAAATGGCCGCCTAGAAGATATTCTAAAGTACAATTAGCCACCAAAAAGTTCAATTGGAGAGCAAATTTGCCTTTAAATTTAATTTAATAGTGACCCGTCTAAAATAACCACCGTTCACATTTCTGTCTATTTTTCATAACACCCCCAGAGAAGAAAAACAACAATGGGTTGATTTGATTAAAATTTTTCTTATTGTTGATTTGGTGTTTTTTTTTTTTTTTTTTTTTAAGGGGTACTACCTCAACCCCCCAAAAAGATAAAAACATATAAACATGGCACTATGACAAGAAATTGTGACACCAAAAAATACAAAAGAAATTGATTTCTGACTAGTAACCAACATTCTAGACAGTTCGACACATCAAATCCAATAAATTTGTCCTCTCATGAAAAATAGCATTGGTGGGATTAGTTGTGAAAATGGATAGAAATGTGAATGATAGTTATTGTAGACAGGTTATTGGCACTATTAAATTATATTTGACAATCTGCTCCAATTGATCTTTAGGTGGCCAATTGCATTTTCGATTATCTTTTAGGGGGCAATTTGCTTCAATTGATCTTTTATGTGGTTAATTGCATTTTTGAATATCTTTCACAAGCAATTTGATTTAATTGATCTTTTGGGGGGTAATTGCACTTTTCAACATCATTCAGGGGGCAATTTGCTTCAATTGATCTTTTAAGAGGGCTAATTGCACTTTTCAAAAATTTTCTAGGAGTAATTTATCAAAAGACCGAAAAAGTAAGATGAGAAAATAATTTAGTTAACTTCATTTTGTTTATCTTAGCTTTATACATTATTTTGTGGAAATGCTGAGTTTTACCAATGTATCTGTTATTGCTGTACTTAACATAGTTATTCAGCACGTGGATGTTGTACTTTTCTTTTTGACTTCAGTGGTAAAATAAATGCTTTTATTTGTGAAAAGAAGAATGTACTTGAACTCTCAGATCTTTTTTTTTATAATTTTTTCCAGGCATATATGGTGCGATGGGTTTAGCGGGGAGGTTCATATGTTCCATGACAGGAATCGATTGCTTGGGAGGTTTCTATCCGTCATTAGATGCAATTGTAGAAGGACTGGGATATGCTGCTCCTCCAATTATGGCTCTGCTGTTTATATTAGATGTATGTTGATTAGTTATTAAAATGATGATAATATTTTTATATTTGGTGGGATCTATAATTTTTTTTTTATAAATGGGATTGGCTATATATCATTTTACTTTCTGAAGCCCAAGGAATTACTGGTAAAATTTCAAGTGGGTTGAGAACAAGAACTAGCATATCTTGTTTGAACTTTTTTTGTTTTCTTTTACGTTGTTTGATTTTTCTTTGTTCAAAAACTGCTGCAGGATGAAGTTGTGAAGTTATCGCCTCATGCTCGTGCTATTAGAGATGTAGAGGATGAGGAGTTAAGGAGCTTCTTTTATGGAATGTCACCTTGGCAGGTAAAGAACAGCTGAAAATTGCATGTTTGTTTTGCATGTCTGCATTGTTGGACAATGTTAGGAAAAACTGATTCCTTTTGGCTAAAATGTTGCAGTTTGTACTTATTGTTGCTGCAAGCTCTGTTGGTGAGGAGCTTTTCTACCGGGCTGCTGTTCAGGTTAGCTTCAACCTGTCATTTGGCCTCGTAACATATGATGTCAAAGATATAGTAATTGTGTAAAAGATATTCCAATCTCTCTGAACTGGACTTGTTAATCTGACTATCTTGTTCAATTGAGCTCAATCAAGCCTTGTACGGTTGGCTACCAAATCTTATTTTCCTAGTCTGCTTAGTAAGGCCTTTACTGGCTGTCGGTTGTCAGATCATGGTTCCATGGGACTCTTTTGATCTTCCTCTTGGTAGTACCAGCCCCTTGCACCTGAATGAACTCAATAACGTCAACTGGGTGACTTTCTGTTGGTTTTTTGGAATGTCTCAATGGCCTAATTGTATGCCTCAAGTGAGCTAAGAAATCCATTATTTTAACTTCTTTTCTTGATAAAGCTTGAGTTTCTTGATCAACATTATAGGCATTGAAATCTTGAAATTTATATAAGTTAAATATTTACAATTATTGTGTTGAAATCTCGAAACTTGTATATGTAAAAATATCCAACTTCCCATTTTTCTCTTATTCTATTTACTAAAGGGGATCCCTCTCTCCATATTATACCTTCTAAAACCATAAACACTTAACAGTGTGTGAAATCTGCTAGAAAAATGACCCTTGTCTTTTATTCTGCCTTTAGGGAGCATTGGCTGAAATATTTCTGAGGAGCACTGATTTGGTGACAGATGCACGCGGAATGGCATCTTTGGTATGAGCATCGTTGTCAACCTATTTCTTCTTTGATTCAGTACTTTGAATTATAACCAATTACTGATAATGCTTCATTTCTTTGACATGTAGACGGGAGTGCTGCCTTCATTCGTCCCGTTTGCTCAGGCATTTGCAGCTGTGATCACAGCTGCTCTTACAGGCTCTCTTTATTATGTGGCAGCATCTCCGAAAGGTTGATCCTCTAGTGATTCTATTGTGGGGAGTTTTGCATAGTGACCACATTTTGCTTTTGTATCCATGATGCTTATTTACATGCAAGCTGTTTATTTTTCTTGCAGACCCTACTTATGTAGTTGCACCCGTCTTACAATCCCGCTCTGGCCGTGAAGATCTGAAAAAGCTCTTTGCAGGTTTATTACCCTAACTTGAAATTCTAATTACCTCCAAATCTTGCTTGTTACATATGGCGTTTGAAATAATAGGTCTTTCTTGAGGCATATAATGTTAATGTTTTTGATATGATTGATTTAGGGGTAACACTATTGGCACTCTATTTAAACTTCGGAGTGCCAGCCTTGAGGAAAACCATGTTAATATTTCAAAAAATATATCCTCTCTTTTATTACTATCATTTCAGTCATGATGGTGATTGGCCCTGCTGTAGACTGCCAACTCATGTGGGATGTTATCCTATGAGGGATGTTGTCATACGGCCCAAAATATATAATATTATTTTTGTAGTAATTATAAGAAAAAGACTTGACATTTATTTCATACCCTCAGAAATGGTTATTGATGGCTCGATATGTCCTTTAGCTCATGGAGTTTATAAACATCTTTCATGAACTAACCAACACCCTGTTTTTTCCTTCATTTCATTTTCAAGAACGTAAAAGGAGAAGGAAAAAAGTAGAAGAAGGAAAAGACAAAAAATGAAACAAAGTGAAAGAAACAAATTTCTTTCTTTTGTTTGTTTGAGTTAGGAAAATGAGAAGCAAATGAATAGATATTTGTAAATTTTCTGTTTGGTTACCCATAAAAAAAAATGATACAAATAATTTTATTTCTTTTCCCTTTGACAAATCGGAGATCCAACCATGGTAGTAGTTGTGGAACTCTGCTACTCCCAGGTTTAGAATAGTTGTTAGATGATTCTAATTTCTACCAAGAACTGAAGGAGAAGAACCTCCAACATAGATATGTGTCGGTATCTTTGTATGGAACCATGGTGACTTACAATACCCAATTCTTTCTCGGATATTCACATTCTCTCACCTGTTTATGGTTGACATCTTGCAGCCTGGTATGAGAAGCGGCAATTGAAAAAGATATACTCTCCCCTCCTAGAAGGACTTTTAGCCCTCTACCTTGGATTCGAATGGATACAGGTAACACAATATAACTTTGTGCCCTTTCTCTAGTTTTCCATATTAAATTTTCAGAGGACAAGGAATGACGGGTTATTTTTCAATATCTGCGGATGCAAATGTGACAGACAAATAATATTCTCGCACCCATTATCACACACGGCATATACTCTGCCGTTATATTGGGACACGGACTTTGGAAGATTCATGATCACAGACATAGACTACACCAGAGAATCCAGCAACTGAAGCGAGAAGGAAAAAACTATGGTAAATTTTGAAGGAAATTTGATGATCCTGCTATATGACAGATATATAGAACCAAACATATTGTATACGAATAATGTAGCAGTTGAATAAGACTATGAATTTGTATAGACAAGATTTCCATTGTCAAAGACGATCTTGTAACCAAGAGACTCTCTAACAAATTTTCACATTTGCATATATTACATTTGTTTTTGGGACTGACCATGTTTATGTCAGATATTGGCAAGTTGAAGTTTCGATTATTCAATTAGGGTCCAGCCCAACTGCTGTGCAGCTTCCTTTGGTTTTACGGTAAACTCAATCTGAAAACATGAACCTATCCAATTGCATCCGTTTAAACTCGGCAAAACTCATAAATGAGTTCAAATGGATTATAAACCTAACAAATCTAATTAAAATTGAGTTCACTGCAACTCAAATCAAAGTATATCAATGAAGGATGTCAAAACTTGTTACTTCTATAATGAACAATATTATGCCAATTTATGACTTCCAATCCTTTAAATGCTAGCATTTAATGTGCTAATGGTTTATTTAATTCTTAAATTTTTTTGGGCAACCTCAATGTTGATTGGGAATCATTTGTTTATATAGGATTTTCATTGGAATGTTGATTCTCACGATTCACTACAAATTGATGGGAAAAAAAAGCAAATGGAATATTATTTACCATTATAAAAAATATATGATTATTTTATTTCATTCTAATAAATCAATAAGATATTATTTTTATATTTTGGTCTCATTTGGGAAGCGATCGGTTTAGTCAAAAGTCAAAAAGTTGTTAAAAAAGTAAAAAAGGCAATAATCTATGCCAAATAGTTAAAGATTTTTTTTTTCTCTCGACTTTTTGCACATCTTTTCATAAAAAGTCAAAAAGTCATTCCAAACATACTAGTTTTTTTTAGCTCATATTTTAGCCAAATAACCAAAACATTACAAATTAGTCTGTTCCCAAACGAAGCCTTTGTTTGGTTTACTTGAATAAATGAAATTAAATAATAATTTAATTCATAATATTCATTCTTATATTTAATTTATTAAAATAAAAAATATATTACAAATAAAATTGTTTTGAATTAACTCTCCATTAAACTTGCTTTGGACATTTGGTGCCTTTCATGATCCAACAACGGGAAATTCTATTTCTACACATCTAATTATTTTAGTACACATCTTTTCTCAATGTACATATTTAATAATTTGATTATTAATTTTTGTTCTCATTCCACACACCAATTATTCTAATAATACCCTTAACTCATATCTTGTACATACACCACCTCAACCTTTTTTCCACACACCTATTTAAAATTGAAGAGCAATAGTCTACCCTATTTCGGTTCACAGTGAAAATAGTAAAGGAAACTCCATTGAAGAAATAGAAGATCTGAGACCCTCCATCGAAGAACCTCCATTGACACTAACTCTATTAAAGACCCTTCTCCTCCATTTGACACTCTAGTTTCGAAATCTGTTGAAGGTAACTATTACTTTGTTTCGATTTCGTTATCACATTTGGTACCATTTCGTTTTCTGTGTCGAGTGCATTGACATATTAGAATAAACCCTCATTTTTTTTTGAAGAGTTGTGATTTTGGGAATTCGACACTGTTTCCTAAATTCATTTTTTAATTCAACACTTGGTTTCTGAAATAGATTGATTTGTTCGACACTGTAGTTTCGAATAAAATAGAATATTTCAGCACTTGTTTTCTGCATTAATCGCGGAAAAAAAAAAAAAAACTTCTGCACAAAAAAAAAACTAGCCCTTTCATTATTGCTTTTGCCATCACCGGGCATATTTTTACTTAATTTTGAACTTCTATTGGTTTGTAACTCTTCCATAACAAAATCAAGAATAATTATGGAACTAATGAGAAAACGATATAAATAGGAGTATAAACCTAGAGTAAAACAATATGAGAGTAACTTATTTTTTTTTTTTTTGAAACAGTCAAAAAACCTTTATTGATGATAATCAAACAAAACAATTACAAAGATGAACATCAATAAAGATCAAGGGTGCAAAAAGTATCAAAGTTATACTAGTCAATCCCAACTAGGTTGGCACCAGCTAGCTAGCCCAATCATCTACTAGCACCACTCAAAGTTGGAGAGAGTCCAACCAAAAAAGAAAACAAAGAAAACACAGCAAACAAGACTCTAAATACTTGTGAGTGTTACACTCCTCACCCTCTAAGGCAACTTCTCACTTGTCTTAGATTTATCACAAAGTCCTGCACTGAAAAATGGTGCTTAGAATAACATGGTTTCAACCATAATGCAATTTTCACCTTTATCACTTCACAAAGCTCCGCCAAATTTGGAATATATGCATTAAACACACAATCATTCCTGTGTTTCCAGAGAGACCACAACATAACCAGAGGTACTCCTCTCCAAATCTTCATCTTTTTACTCCTAAAACATTGTCATACCTACCATAAGAGAATGCCTTCAACAGATTTAGGTAAAGCCTCTTCAATATCCCACTAATTCAGCATTGCAGACCACACCTTCCAAGCAAAGAGGCAAGAGACCAACACATGATTCATTGTTTCATTCTCAGCCTTATAGAAAACATACAAGGTTGATACATTACTTTGTAGGACACCAATTCTTTGTAGGAAGACTGATGTCTTAATTTTACTTCTCCAAGCTAGCCAAGTAAAGAATTGGACTTTTGGAGGCATGTAAGTAATCCACACCAGTTTTACTTGATTTTAACTGAGGGCTTGCTGAAACTAACTTACCTTTATAAACAGAGCACACTGAGAACTCCGCTAAGGATATTGTTTTCCACATTGGACAATCAGTTTGATTTGCTACAATATTTGGTGCTGCTACAAGGAAGTTTCTAAGCCTTATAACCTCACTAACGTCCCAATCATACAACCTTTTTTTGAATTAACACACCCAATTCCTTTCAGAAACCTTTTTCTCATACATTGATCTAAATGACTCCTCCTTATCCACCACCAAGCAGTACAAACCAAGAAATTCCTCTTTAAGACAAGTACTATTTCACCATTTGTCCACCCAAAATCTAACACTATTCCCATCCCCAATCTTTATCTGAAAGTTGTTCAAAAAATACTCAAAGAGGGTACTATTTGACTCTACAATGGTAATTATTCTTTTCCAAACACTAGACATAGTACTAGTGGTACTAGAAGAAGGAATCCAATCACTGAAGTTTACTTTATACTTACTACATATAACTCTTCTCCATAATGCATCCTTTTCATACCCAAATCTCTACCACTATTTGATTAGTAGGCAAGAATTTACCACCTTCACTCTTCTCAACCCTAGACCCTCTTGTTCCAAGCTTTTAGTCAGTTTCTCCCACTTGACCATATGTACCTTTCTTTTTTTCTTCTGATCCTCCCCAAAGAAATGAAGCCTGCAACCTCTCTATCACTCTAGCTATCCCAGCAGGCATTTTAAACAAAGATAGATAATACAAAGACAATGATGCAATGACAGATTTGATTAGAGTAAGTCTACCAGCATAGGATAAAAGCTTTCTTTTCTAGCCAGCTAGTCTGCTTCTAACTTTGTTTAACAGTGATTTCCAAGTTGTTTTACAACTAGGATTAGCCCCTTAGGGCAGCCCTAGATACTGCTAAGGCAGCTTATTGGTCTTGCAGTTCAATATAGATGCAAATCTAGCCAAAGGTTCATCAGGAACACCTACAAACTTGACTTTTATGGTAATTTATGCTTTGCAATCAATAAAGGAGTATAGAATATATAGCAAGCACAGTGAAAAACAAATGGAAAAAGTGGCAAATAATGAAGAAACTAGAGTTTAATTTTTTTTTTTTTTACTCAAAAGATGTACATTGAGATATTTTTTTTTTATTTCTAAAAGATGTGCACAAAGAATATTTTAATATAATATTATAAGTGTTGGTAAATATTCATTGTAATTATTTTAATTTAAAATATAATTATTATTAAAATAATATTTTATTAACTATATAGACTGAGATAACTAGCTGTGTAAAAATAAAGGCTCTGTTTGGTAAGGCTTCCAAACTTTAATTCTACCTTTTGTTTTCAACGTGGTGTTTGTTTATAGCTTTCAAAAATTAATTTCACACTCATTTTTGAAAACTCTGGCCAAAACGGGAAAATTTGGGCTAGCCGATCGTCTTACCTGTCGTCCTGCTGGTTGACCGGAACAGTGCATTTTTTTTTTTTGGCAATTGACCCATGTTAATTTTATATATTCAATAAAAAATATTTTCTGAAATTTTTAAATTTTTTTTATGAGTTTTAAATAAAATTTTGAGTTGTGTATTTGGTTATGAGTTATAAATTTTTGTATCAAATATCATATGTCACATTAAAAATTTCTCACTCAATTCAAAACTTTGTTCAAAACTCATTTACTAAACAATTTTTTTTTACTCAAATCATAATTTAAAACTCACAAAATCAAAATATAATTTTATTTTCAAATTATATTTAAAAAATTCCATTAAACGCAACCAAAATTTTCTTCCAACAACGGCTTTGAAAATGCACATAGTAAGTTTGTCCTCACTCATAAAAATAAATAAAAAGGGGCAACCGCCAACAAAATACCTTGATTATTGTGTACAAAAAAAAACTTGTGAATAGAAAGTCAGATAAAAGGGTACCTCTACCTCAATTTTTATTTTTATTTTTATTATTATTATTTTTTTTAATATGAAAAAAAAGAAAAGACGCAATTAAAAAGACAGTAAGCCTCCGTTTGAGAAGTGGGTTGACTTTTTAGCTTTTTGAATTTTTTGACTATTTGAGCCTGGGCTCAAAAACTTGGTTTGGAAAGAATTTTTTGGCTTTTTGACTTTTTAAACTTTTTTTGTAAGAAAAGAGTATAATAATTTTGGGTTGAATATGATGTTTTTTCTGTTGTGACTCAAATAGCCTATTCTATTTTTTTTAACTCAAAAAGCCAAAAGAAAAAGAAAAGACGCAATTAAAAAGACAGTAAGCCTCCGTTTGAGAAGTGGGTTGACTTTTTAGCTTTTTGAATTTTTTGACTATTTGAGCCTGGGCTCAAAAACTTGATTTGGAAAGAATTTTTTGGCTTTTTGACTTTTTAAACTTTTTTTGTAAGAGAAGAGTATAATAATTTTGGGTTGAATGTGATGTTTTTTCTGTTGTGACTCAAATAGCCTATTCTATTTTTTTTAACTCAAAGAGCCAAATGAAC